GACCTGCTGGACGAGGTCGTCGACAACAGCTGGGTCCTCGGAGTCTAGGAGTGAAAGGTCGATTGACTTGAGCTCGGCAAAGTTGTGCTTTTCCTTAGTGACAGCAGGGGGAACCCATTCCGGAACAAAAGGCTTGCCGGCGAGGTCGGCGGATGGTGGGCTGAAGGGGGCTGCGGGTGCCATGACTTGGTATGTCCAATGATATCTATGTAGTGACTGATGCTGGATAGGATAGCTAAATGAGGTCTCAATGGAGGTTTTATAACTGCGTCGGTGTTGTATGATGGTGGAGGCCTACATCTGGTACCTGAAGTCATACAATGACCAAAAGACGAGCTCCTCGGTCAAGCAAGAGGAGCGCAAGCATGGAGTTCGGCTGACCCGCTATTTGGTTGTGCACTCCATCGTGTCTCCACCGGCATGATTGACATAGCGGTGCTCCCTGCAGCATTTCCGATGACTCCATGTCCGATAAGCCGGGTTCTCCACCTGATCGAGCTCCTCCCTGAAGTTAATTCATTAAACTGGCGCTAAGTGCAAGCTCGATCGTTAGGTTGCGTAGCGCATGGTGCGGGAGGAGCTCCTCCCAGATAGGGCTGGAGGAGCTTCGGCGGAGATCCACTCGGCCTCATCGCGATGGACAGTACGAGGGGAGGACAGATGGGGAATTTTAAAACAGCGATTTCCACCATTTACTTTTGTGTCTTCGCATATCAAAAGCCATAGCGCAATTATCTATAATCTACTTTCGCATTGTCCTACACACAATCTCCGTTTCTCCCTTTTCCGTGATCCTCAGCAAACATGTCCCGGCAACTCATCTCCAGCGAAAAGTTCCCTCCCAAGCCTCACAATTGTAAGGATTACTCGAAGTCCTGCGCGAAATACTATGCCATGTGCTAATCAAGCTGGTATTTCGTCTCATAGGCCCCGCCACCAAAGTCCCGGGTCTCGTCTTCTGTGCAGGCCAAACAGCGACCGGCGAGATTAAACAAGCAACAGTGAGTCTTGTCCGTGCGACGTCTTTACCTGTAACAAATAAGTAACCACTCTATGATTGTCCACAGAGAACCGTTCTACAGAACCTTAAAGAAGTCCTTGAGCTTTCTGGATCGTCGCTTGAGCAGGTGGTCAAGTACAATGTCTACCTCGCCGATATGAAGGACTTCGCTGCAATGAACGAGGTGTACATCGATTTTCTCCCTCAGCCGATGCCATCTCGCTCGTGCCTCCAGGCACTGCCTCCGGGTGATGGAACAGTTATTGAGATTGAATGCATTGCGCAGGTTTAAGACAATTCATATAGAGGGTTTCCATATAATATACAATAAAATTATCTAAATTTAAGTTTCTACCGTTGATCACCTTTTTACCCTTTCATGTCCAGCTATCGTATTCCCTTGTTCTAGTCGTAGGGAATTTCAGGGTCCTTGTTTAGTTGAGTATACAGAATGAAAACTAAATCATAGACATGTAATAATTGCGGTCTACGCCCGTGATAGTCACGGTTCGGACAGGTCTATTTACAGTCTTCTGCATTATTTAGTGACATGTGAACATGCTTATATCGTATACAAATGATCGTTCATTCATTTGTTTTGGTCTTGAATGTTATGATTATTAGTTGATCCGTGGAGCCTGTCCTTCACACGAGATGTCGTGCGGAGATTGACCAAGGAGACAGTGGACAATGAACTTAGTATCATGAGTACATGCATCCTCTATCTAGTATTATCCGAACCAAAGTAGCTATGTGCGATGAAGAAGAATCTCAGTTCAGTGAATAGTATCTACAAAAGCCGTAGTTTATAGCTTAGGCGATTAAATGCAGCCAAATAGGGTATGGGTATAATGTTAGATTCGCTATCTAGTCTATAAGCCCTGATTCATTACCGATATCAACATAGCCTCCAATCTCTCAAGACCGAGCAACCTCAAACTCCGAAATGTACCAATTCTGAATGGCTTTGGTATCGCCCGTAATGGCGACGGTGTCATATCGCTCTCGGGCCTCCTTGGCCACAGTACCATTGTTAACCATACGCCCAGCCCACTTTCCATGTTTCCGCGCTGCTGCAATAATCTTATCAACAGCAGCGACGAACTCCGGCTCATCTCCACGGGCGGGCACATATCCGAGAAGCGACTGCGCAAGGTCATTCGGGCCGATGAAGACGAGGTCCACTCCCGGGACGGCACAGATGGCATCGACGTTTTCGACGCCCTCCCGCGTCTCTATTTGAATCATAGTCAAGATTGTCTCGTTGGCGGAGATCATGTACTCTGGGGTGGTGAGGCCATGGCCGATGGCTGGGAAGGCTGAGCCCTGGCCACGCACACCCTGTGGAGGGAACTTGGAGGAGGCGACGATTTGTTGTGCTTCTTCAGCGTTGTTGATCTGCGGAACCATGATCCCGTGTGCACCTGTGTCTAGAGCGCGCTTGATAATGTCGTGGGCGGGGCCGCGGATGCGAATAATGGGTGAGACTCCAAGTGCTGAAATGGCAGACACGGAGTTGTGCATTGAGTCGTCGCTAATGTGGCCGTGCTCGCAGTCAATGATGATGCCGTCGACGCCCGTTAAGGCAACGATCTGGGCCATGCGGACAGAAGGAATGGCCATGAATGTCATTAATGGGTATTCTCCTGCTCTGATTTTGTTCAGGAGCCTCAGACGAGAGTTGACGATCTCGGTCGTCTGAGGCGTGGGGTAGGTCTTTGTTGGGGCTGGCATTGTGCTGTGTGTATCTGCGAGGGGTTGACGATAGTGATAATGGGAGTATCCGCTGGTGGCCATGTGTCTTTAATAGGGGAGGTCTATCCATGAGTGGTGCTCACTTGCTTATCGTGCAGTATAGGGTTCGGCTCATCTCCGACAGCGGCCGGGAGGAGCTCCTCAACGTTTTTCACTCCTCCCGATAAGACCCACACGGTTTTATGTACCCCGGATTTGAACCAAAGGTCTAATTGTCCTGGCAAGATTTCCAATTGGACTGATATCTGTGGTGCTATTCCCCTCTTTCTTTATCTATGCCGCCCCACCAGCGAGCCCTCCGCGAATCATTTGACTCTCAGCTACTCCAACAGCCGTCGTGGTCAATAGCCGCTCCATTGCCTGCACCATGACTCCCTGATAACAGCCATTCCTGAGCCTTTTATTACGAAGGCAGGGGGAGGAGCCCTCAATCACATTCAATCTTCACTCAAGCAGAGACCAGCTGCCTGCAACTGGTCCAAAACATTGGATTCTGCTGTTGTCGAGCCAAAAAGAAACTCGTTACCTTGATATCTATTGCACCCATAGCTATAGCCATGGACACCAAAAAAAGAGCGCTGTCAGTGCATAGCGATGACAACATCTCCGCTGCAGAAGGGCAACTCGATGTCCCTGACGCGGCATATCGCCGGATGCCAGAGAGCCTTCGCAATCTCAGCCAAGACGAGATCACCACCCTCAACAAGAGGATTGTCCGAAAGGTTGACCTTTTTGTACTCCCCACCATTGGGATCCTATACATTTTGAACTATATCGACCGCCAGAATTTGGCTGCAGCCAAGCTCCAGGGGATCATGGAAGATCTCAACATGACCACCCAACAGTTTGCCACCGCAGTGTCCATCCTCTTCGTCGGCTACTTGCCCTTCCAGATTCCTAGCAACCTTCTCATAACCAAGATCTCCCGGCCTGGCATGTACATCTGTGCTGCTGTCGTGATCTGGGGCTGTATTTCCGCTGCAACAGCAGCCGTTAAAACATACAGCCAGTTGCTCGCTGTTCGAGCCGTTCTCGGAGTGGCGGAGGCAGTCTTCTTCCCCGGTGCGATCTACTACCTCTCTGCATGGTACACCAAAAAGGAACTCGGGAAGCGCATTGCGGGTCTCTACATCGCACAGCAAGTTGGCAATGCCTTCGGCGGGCTGTTCGCCGCAGCCATCCTCCAACTCGATGGCACGCACAACATCGCCGGTTGGGAATGGCTCTTCATCATCGAAGGCAGCGCGACAGTCGGCATCGGGGTGGTATGCGCCTGCATCATGCCCGAATTCCCACACAACAGCCGCATCCTGTCCCAGATCGAACGCGACCTCGCCGTATGGCGCATCGAGTCGGAAGCCGGAGCAGCAGAAGGCACCGAGAATGAAAGCGTACTACGCGGCTTCGCTAAAGCCCTCTCCGACCCCAAACTCCTGCTCCTCATCTTCGCCAACATGCTCTCCCAAACCCAAGGCTCCATCGCCAACTACTTCCCCACGCTCGTCGGGTCCCTCAACTTCAACAACACCATCACTCTGCTCCTCACGGCCCCGCCCTACATCCTCGCCGGCGCAGTCTACTACGTCCTCATGTACTACTCTGACCGCAAGAATACCGTGTACCCGATCATCCAACTCTGCGTGGCCATCGCCATCGTCATGTACATCATCCCCATGGCAACAATGAATGTGGGTGCCCGCTACTTCTCCATGGTCATTTTGCCGTTCGCATCCGTCGGCCCACAGCTCCTCCTCTACAAGACGATCAACCTGCACCTGGCACGCCCAGTCTCCAAGCGCGCAGCTGCCTCTGCTCTGGTGAACGCTATTGGCGGAACCTCCAATATCTGGGCGTCGTATCTCTACTACGCGCCGCCGCACTTCTATGCCGCCTTCGGGACGCTGATGGCGAGTGCAGTCTTACTGGCAGTGACGATGACTGTCTACCGGTGGCTGGTCTTGCGGGAAAACAAACGCTTGGACTCGGGCGATCCGGAGGAGATCGCGAAGGTTGTTCGCGGTGGTGTGACGGAGGAGATGGTGCAGCTGAATTGGCGGTACGAGATGTATTGATATCTGGTGATGTTCATACTCAATGGAATGGCTCGCGGTAGCAGGCCGCGGATATATAATATAGGTTTTATGGCATGATCGGAATACGCGTCATGGTATGCAAGTAATCACAATAATTATAGTATTAACCCTTCTGTAGCGTACACTATATTAAAGGAAGCATTAAGGCCACCTCAACTCCCCAACCCATCCAAGCAAGACAATATAAGCCTACCCAGCTGCCACCTCTCTCTGCGCCGAAAGACCTTCCTCGCCCACTCCAGCGCCCCCTCCACATCCCCATCCGCGATCCCAGCAACGTGCATCGCATTCGGGAGACCGCCGCGCACAAGCTGCCAGGCAATCAAAAACGCCTTGTACGCATACACCGCCACCCACGGCGCCTCCATATCGGGCTCGCGCGTCGTGTCCAAATAGCGTAGGAACCAGTCCACGTGCGGCTGGATCGCCTTGGCCGTGTCGGCCTCCCACAGGAACTCATACGAAGGCGCGAGAGACGTCGATTGACTCACCACGGCATCCAGACTGGCAGCCACAATGCCGCCCGTATGCGCCGGCGACCACAGATGCAGCTCGATCATGGCGGTCTCCCATGTTGCGATGGCGTGCATTGCCTTCGCGGTCTCGGGCTGCGGACGGATGAAGGGGCCCAGGGCGATTAGCGACGCTCGTAAGGCGTCCAGTCGGTCCATGCTGAGCATGCCGGTCATGGTGGACCAGCCGGAGACCTCGCGGGCGCTGGAGATGAGGAACTGGGCGATGTTGATGGCCCCGTAGGGGTCGAATGTGGGGATGGAATCGGGACACGCGTCGGAAGACAGGAACCGGCGGACTGCGTCTGGGTATGGTACAGCGGGGCCGGGGTTTCTAGCGACGAGATGTCGGTGGGCCCATTCGGCGGCGGAGGGTGCGGTCCATTGCGCTTCCGGGCAGGGGAGGTCGTGTTTGACTTCTAAGTGCGAGATGGATCGCGGGATGGATAGGAATTGGTACCAGAGTGCGTCGATCTGGTGCACGGCGAAGGACGTTCGCTTGTGCGACTCGGCTTTGATGAATTCATACCATAGTGCCTCTAGATCTTCGGTCGCTGAGGTTTCAGTCGCCATGGGCTGCATGAGGCCTCCTGCTCGCGCGAGTGAAATCATGTTGGAATGCATCTTGAGGCCGGATGATGAGTCGTCCCCGCAGAGGTACATCATCGCGCATATTTGGAGGAGTAGATATGATTGGATGAGGGTAGTATTATGCCTTGGGCTGTCGGTTCTGCTTTCCTCAGCGGCTGTGAGAGCGCGAGCCTGGTGGAAGCACCGGATGGATAGGCTTGCGCCTGAGCCGGCTTGGTCGCCAGACTCTGGGTCCTCGCCGTGTTGGTAGCCGAGGGAAATGATACTGAGGAGTAGGTGTGGGGGTATGTGTGGCGTCAAACGTCGGTTGGTGCAGAAATGGGAGGAAGTGCGAAATATGCTTGAAGAACAGGTCACAGCCGCGTGTAATTTGCGTGTGCGATGGGAACCAATCGACCTGGTAATTCGATGGGAATGTGTCAGGGCTTCCTTGGCTAAATTGGGCGCCGGGGAGATTTGTGTCAAATGAGGTAGACTGTGGTATAATGGCAGTTTGTAATGGGTCGTCAAGTTCGTAGGTCGGCTTGAGAAACGGCGTTCCCAGCAGCAGGCTCCGTTCTAGTTCTATTGCATCTTGCACCATTCGGCCCACACAGTCTGACTCACTCATCGATGACCCTTGTACGGATGGGCCTGTTACAACATGGTCCCTATGTACTTCAGCTGTGGCTGGTCCGCTAGTTGAGCTTTCTGCATCATGGCCATGGAAGAGTGGATGTTGCGTATGCGGCAACGGCGTGTTCCAAATTCCACTATCCACCTCCAGCTCGCACTCATCGCCCGAGTTCTGCAGGTGAAAGCCATCTTGACTGTCTGGCGACGATTCAGACGACAGGTAGACATCATGTCGTTGCGGTCTCCGTGCGTCACTCCCTGGTTTAGGTACTGAAGACTCACGCAGGGACCTTTTCGTTGCGCGCCTCTGCTCATACTCAGGATGCTTTCGCTTCATATGTCGGTGTCGTAGATCGGGACGTGAGAACGTCGTCTGGCAAAAGTCACAGGGTAGCGAGGCCTCCTCCTGTGAACGGGAATGGAGCTTAGCATGTCGCTTGAGGTTCTCATGTCGGGTAAAGCGACTTTGGCAGACATGGCACTGGTACGGTTGATACGACGGGATGCGTCGGTTGGCGCGGGAGACTGACATTATAAGAAGCAATCGAATCCTTCGTATGGCGTGACTGCGTCGGTTGTTGAGATGTACAGGCGGAGAAAATCCCCACATACTAGTATCGCTTTCCCCGCACGGCCAAGCATCGGCTACTGTCCGGTTATCTGCTCTGTTGTCCTCCTTGTATATCTATCATATCGGAATAGATAACGGGAAATAATCTCTTATCGGCGGGCTGTTATCTCGGTGCATTTGCATGATATACGATGTCATGATGGGGGTTGACTACGAAATACGGGACACATCACAAACTATTGTAAAAGAAATAAAAAAGAAAAGAAATATAAGTTAAGTACTTTTTATTTGCTATTATTCTATCGATATTGCCAGGAATATGTCTAAATCAATCGAACTGAATAACCAGTTCATTGAACTCAACCATTTTTAATAATAAAAATTGTGGCTGGAATTCACCTCAATAGGGGAATAGGGCTACAATACGCCACACCCTAGGCCAGGGGTTGCTGAACTACACCACACTTCGATTTACTTTTACCTTTACCATCGCTCAACATAGACCCGGCATCGTTTATACTGCGTATTAGAGATCAGTGGCATCATGAGCCTTTGTACTTCGTACAATCCTGAATTAAAGGAGGAACCTTAGGAACGAGTGGGGCGTGTGGCGGAGTTTTGGTAAGTGGGCCGGGTCAACAATCTACCCGACTCGGGAGGATATGCCAATGATTTGGGGAAACGGATGGTGATCTGGAAGCTTATTGAGAGTAGGAGCTGGATCAGCTTCACATTGATGTATCCACTGGATGGAGGAATCCCGCAAGATCTTCACCGTTAGAGTTAGCACCGGATAGAACATTGGCCACCTCTAAATATATAAAGGATGTACAGGGGTAAGGTGCTTGCGCTAAAATCTATCATTATATATTTAAGACAACGGTTACGACATCAACATAACACCTGGTTCTATTTGCTTTCAAGCCTTAGTGGACTTTCAATAATATCACCAAAGTTTGGTACACTCAAGAAATGGCGGCATTCATAGGAGCGAATCTGAACCCTTGCAATTATATTGGAGGTGTGAGCTTCAACCTGATCGAGACATCCCAGATCTATCGGGAAAGGTAGCATTGGTGACCGGAGGTATGTCCTGATTCACCTGGGAGAAGACAACATACTAATCCTTTGCAGGAAATGCTGGACTAGGCAAAGAAACAATTCTTCAGTTGGCCAAACATCGGCCACAAAGAATATATCTTGCTGCACGGTCCGAGATGAAGGCGCAGACGGCTATCAGCTCTCTAAAAGGGTCGCTATCAAATAATGTTGAAATCACCTGGCTTCCGCTGGATTTAATGTCCATTAAATCGATTCAAACGGCGGCGCAAACATTCAATGCAGAATCATCACGGCTCGACATATTGATCCTCAATGCGGGCGTGATGTCTCTTCCGCCAGGAGAGACAGAGATGGGCCATGAGATCCAGCTTGGTACCAACCATACTGGTCATTTTCTTCTCACAAAGCTGTTGTTGCCGACCTTGCTCAGGACAGCTGAAGAGCCCAATTCGGATGTGCGGGTTGTGTCCCTCTCATCGATCGGACATAATCTGGCCCCGTCCTTCGAGACCATCCTGGATCAGGACCGGCTGAAGAAGGTGAACACGAACACTCGATATGGAGCGTCAAAGGCAGCAAATATTCTATTCGCAGCTGAGCTTGCGCGGCGGTATCCTTCCATCACCTCCGTTTCCGTCCATCCCGGGATTATTCTCACAGATCTATACAGCTCGTTGAACGAGCGCTCTACCCTTGCTGCGTTGGGCTCAAAGACACTGAATCTTTTTGGAACACCCGTTCCTCAGGGGGCCTATAATGAACTATGGGCTGCTGCTGGTGCGAAAAAGCAAGACCTCGTCAATGGAAGCTATTATATTCCCGTGGGACATTTGAAGCCGTATAATCAATATGTCAGAAGCGAGGACATGGGAAGGCGCCTGTGGGACTGGACCGAGTCCGAGCTACGCAAGTTCAATGCTTTGCCTTGAGTTGTCATATTTCCATTTTCCTACTTTGTACTGTTTCGAATTCCAAATGTATGTATATGTGTCCCTGGAATGACAAATGATCGCCACTTTTCCTTCTCAGCGGAACGAACCTCGGAGTTTTAGTAAATCCGACAATTAAGCCCCTAAAAACTGTGGACCAGACTAACTACATGTAGCACAGGTTGCGAGACGTGCTGATGTTTTAACTTTCGGACCTGATTCTCTATCGCGGGGAAGATGCGGACGAGTGCCGCCTCGACGGTTGGCCTAAGAGTCAAGCCGAACGCCCACCAATGGAATCAGCATGACCTGCAAATTAGTATTGTGGTTACTATATCACACGGCGTAGCTGATATTCTTTCCAGCTTGGTGTGGTTCTCCAATCTATACAAGAAACAAACATACAAGTCGAGCTGATGACGGTAGAAGGTTCACGTTTATGAAGAACAACTTGACAGGTTTCAGACGGCCATCTGCAAGATATATAAAACTCATTTGGCAAGATCTTCTAATGTATCATGTTAAATATAAGCCTACGGACGGGCTGAAGACCAGTGAGCATTGGTTCTATGAACCGGTCACTGTGCAGGCGAAGGTTGAGAATGCCTGGTGATGTTGCGATACGCCGCGGGTGGTCATGCGGAGCAGTCCAACTAGGGTTACTAGTAGCTATATCACTCGACCCTTCACAAAGTGTGAGTAACTACGGCAATTTTATCTTCCCCATGCTTTGAAAGTATCGGGACATAAGCCTGCAATCAGGCATTTCACCCTTGATAGATGGGTTAATATGTTAATTAGCATGCGGTACTATATATCGTAAGATATCATCCCAGACTTATGCCCAGGCCTCCCTTTGTTCTTCACTTCGATCGGATTAAATTGGCAGTACACAAGTTACAGCCGGTGATGGTATAGAATCTCCGTCCATTATTTTCGGTAGCCACGAGGGAGTGAGGAGAAACTTTGTGAATTGCATAAAGCTCATTTGTTGAATACTCCAAGAAGTGCTATGTCCTCTAGTCGGAAAACATGCTATTGTGAAATGCTGGCTAGATTACTTGAAATCCAAACGTACCTGTAAGAATGCTTGTCTAGGGTGGTTAGAATCTCCCTAGTGCTTTGCAAAGACACTTGCCCCTTATTTCGAGCATCACCGGCCATCGCCGACAAAGACATTCACGGATACCTACATATCGATGTCGATCTTCGCGGAGACTCCTCCATGACAGCAGTCACGGTGTCATTGCGCAAGTGGTGAAGATGAGGTTGTATGCTGATGTAGCTTTGGGAAGCGCGCGACAGTTACTACATTGTTTGGCGTGAACGGTTATGAACGGATATTAATGTTAGATTCCGCACCGCGGAAATTACTTCTGACCTATCTTCTCGAAGAGACTTGTAGTTCATACAATTCTCTACAATTCCTTGGCATCCTCGACACTGAAGTTGATATCGGGAGCCACCCATCAGTTACATGATAATTGATCAACTCAACTTATCGAATACCGCTCGATCGAACCATACAATGCCGCTAGACCCGGGAAATGAGTTCTGTTTCATGTCTTGAATGCGACCCACTCGGGGATTGTCCAGATCGCCTATAAAACACTCTAATTTTATAGGGTTACATTCTGCTCGCGCCAAGAGATTCCCAAATTCTTCTGCACGCTCCCACTTCTAACACTCGCATAATGGATTGTTCTTCGGTCCAATCATAAGGGCATCCCATATCGGCCTTGGAAATGAGTTTGCATGCAGGATATAGGGCGACGCGACAACTAGGGCTTAGCCTGCTCGTCGACAATGTACCTAAACAGAAGGTGGACAGTTCTTCAGAAACCCAACCATGAATTCTGGCGCCGATGTAACGTGACGAAACTGAGATTGCTGCAGGTCCTGCTTAAGCTCATTTCTCTAATCAGCGTTTTACGTACATGGAATTGATAGGCATCCGGCAGCAGCCCTGCGTGGTGCACTGCTTTGGGAACGTCCAATAGTGACATCGTCGGCATTTCGCCTATACACAACAATAAGTATCTTCTGCACGCGCTACAATTGCCTGTGCATGTTGATCGTATCCTATTCCAGGTGTCTGTATATTATACCTCACTCTAAGCGCCGGCGAATGCCACCGTCGAACAACCTCAACGTGATGTATGGGACGGTCAATTTCCATGGATGGGGTTGCAGTATCCACACATCATAGTATCGAGTATCATGCCTCACATTTAATTAAACAACGTAACATCGGAGGGTCATGAGGTATCCAGTGAGGGCCAAAGGGATATGAGACGAGATACCAGTTCATCAAAAACGAATATATAAGGATACCAACTCGCGACCAAGATATTTCCATCTCAGAACGTGCCTCCACCTCCAGCAAACAACATCTCCTTGTCCAGCAAGCGCAACAAGCTCACAGACCACACAAAATGCATTTCACCGCCTACATCGTGGCTGCAATTGCAACCGCCAGCACAGCTCTGGCCCATATGGAAATGGTTCATCCCTACCCTCTGAGGAGCCAGTTTGATCCCAAGAACGACTGGTCCAACATTGACTACGACAACACCTCCCCACTGGAGCCAAATGGTAAGAGCCATCAATCACCCCGTTTGATCCCTTATCCCCTCCGAGGTAGCCGAGCTGGGCCTAACAATGGCTTCCAATACACAGGATCCAACTTCCCCTGCAGAGGACACCATAAGAATACCGCCTGGCGCACGGTTGCCAATTACACCGCCGGCCAAAGCGACTCCATGAAGCTTGCGCCAGGAAACAACCACCACGGCGGCTCATGCCAGATCTCGCTCAGCTATGATAACGGCGAGACCTTCCGTGTGATCGAGTCGTACATGGGAGGATGCCCGCTCAAGCTTGAATGGGACTTTGAGATCCCCTCTTTCGCACCCAGTGGCCAGGCGCTGTTCGCTTGGAGCTGGTTTAACATCGAGGGAAACCGCGAGATGTACATGAACTGCGCCCAAGTTGAGATCGAGGGCGGCTCTGGTTCCGCCACGGAGTTTGATCAGTTGCCCGAGATCTTCACGGCCAATATCGGAAATGGATGCAGTACTGTCGAGGGCAAGGAGACTGTCTTTGCCCACCCCGGTGACAGTGTTGGATATGCTGGAAAGGTGTCGCCAGGTGATGCTCCTTTCCCCAAGTGTGGTGGAAATGCGTAGTAAGGGGAGGAAGGCACAGAAGGGAGAGTATTTTCTGATGGCTGGTCCTTGTGATCGATTCACTTGTGTTTTGTGATTTATTCTATTCTTTACCGCGGGTTGATCCTGTACCTATTCTTGTTTCTGGAAACGGGCACTATTTGATTTGCAGTTCTTGTGGAGAATGTGAGACCCTATTGTATAGGCATCTTTGCGGCCCTATGAAGTAAACAAATTTATGCAACCGCTGTAGACTAATTTTAAGCTAGACCTGTCTGTAGAGACTCCCCCGTCTCTCTTTATTAGCGTGACACCGTATCAATTTCAATGTATGTACGTGGGTGTAACGCACGCGGTGACCATATACTATTCAGTGCGCTACTTAGTACGTTGTAGAGCCTGCAAGAGGTATCTCGCAGGTAATGTTGGTCTTTTGATAAATAGCCTCGTATCGTCTAACCCCTGGAGTAGGTGCCCTTACAATGGGAATCTGATTGAATATCTTGATGGCTAGTCGATGTCTCGAGAGTTTTATCTGGGACATTCCCCACTACTATATACAACTTCCACGCTGGTTTTCTACTAGTTACAGAACGAATGGTGGATTAAATAACAGTCATATTAAAAGTCAAAATTAAGTAAAAAGACAAAAATACAATAGCATTAGTATGGCTGTGCTCACCAAGGAGCAGCCTTGTGCATCTCGCCACTTTTAGCGGGTTTTCAAGGCCCTAAACCTGAATAATCTCTATTTAAAAAGAGCTAGAAAGCGTATTTTTACCTTTATACTAAGGAAGACGGTTATAGTAATATAGTGTTTGGTTTATTATAATTTCTATTCATTGTTTGCTCTATTACTAAATTTCATTTTTAATTAGCTAGCTCTGTCCAGTAACTATATCTTTAATTAGCAATTCCTAGCTTAATAATAGTCGATTTGAGCATAGGCTGTGGCAGAAGTAATGGCCAGGTTAAACTAGTTGGGTTATGTCACTCCAGCAACTACTAGTAGAGAGTAAGTTAAAAGATAGCCATAAACATCCAAGAAAGCACTAGGCGCCTTGTGTATATACATAAAAGATTCTTTACACACAACCTGTCGGCATATGTTTTCTGTGAATTTTCTATCGGTTTCTACCCAGACCGCGGGCCTGCAGGTTTCATCTTTTATCTCGAAATGTCCAATGACAAATGTACAACCAAATAGAGCGTCATACTTCTTTTAAGTAGCAGATGCCATGAGTACGGAGAGCTCTTTGCACCTGGCTGAATAAGGTAAATAATTGTGCGTAGAGGGCGGGAGTGAGCCAGATCTGAAGTCTCTTTTGTCTCTCTCTCCTGTCAGCTATCAAGATTCCGCATCTAGCTATCCTGACGCCCTGAGTCTATCTCTTCAATAGGAGAACCAAACCAAGTAACGATCTCAGGAACGTTAGTTTCGTCTGCCGTCAGAAAAACACCAAGGCTTCTTGTTCGCTGGTGGTATTCCTCCTTGTAAGGACCACGCTTCGAGAGAAATTCAACCATGCGAGTAAACCAACAATGAGCCAAAAACTCCCCAATAGGCAGTCTAAGTTCGTTGAAGAGAATGTCAAACTCCGAAACAAGCTGTTCGAGTTCGTACAGGCCAAGTTGGTCTTCCTCCCGAATATTTTCTATTTCTACCCGATCCCTGGCATCCTTCCACAGAAAGTCCGGGTTATGATCGATTTCAATGCAGCACGTATGTCTTAACTGCAATGCTTCAAATGTAAAGAATCTGATAATGGCCTGAGTAACTCCCGGTCTGGACTTAGTCCATAGAATGAGGAGTTCGTAGACTCGGCGGCAAAGACTAGACCGCTCTCCTAGAGCAAGTTCGAAGAAGTTGCCAATCTTTTTGGTGGCTTTTCGAAGTGCTACCGAAAAAGTAGTACACCCACCAGGACAACATGCGCATACACAATTGTCTCGAACAGAAGGGTCAAGAAACACGGTATCTTTGTGTCCAATGACAAGAGCCTCGAATTCTGGCCAATTGTTTGTTCCCGACCGGTAGTCACCACAGAGGACTCGAAAAACCATTTCAACAACCACCGAACTAATGCGATGAGCAACTGTAGCATTTGACCCAGGCAACCTGTTGGCCAAATTTGCTCCTTTTGAAACAAGCCATATGCGCATTTCAATATTCTTGCGTTGGGATGAAACGATTTTGGCGCACGGGGCCGAACCGAACAGCATCAAGGGTGTACGGCCAGAACTATCGCGAGTATCGATATCTCGAAAGCCAACTCGGTACAGCTCCTCACTTGCTTCAGGGAAAGCTGCACTGCAATGATAAACAGACCGGTCACCCCCTTGATAATCAACTTGCAAAGAAGGATCGATCGCCCACCCTTGTGCAAGAAGCTCAGCCTGAAGTTTAGCGGCTTGAGCATCAATAATCGCATCTTTCTGGATATAAAATTCCTTAAGTTTACGCGGCGGTAAGTAAGATTGAGCCAGGTCCCACAGCTTTCTTCGTCGTCTAGCCAGCTCTTGAATTAAGAATAGCCTTACAGTCTTGGATGTGCACGAGAAGATATCAAACACATCGAATTTGCACCCTAATGTTCAGCGAAGGGTTAGAGGCTGGTGCGTAAACTCGAGGCTGATTTCAAGGCTGATATCCATTCGCACGTGACGCTTCGATATGGGCTCTTAGTTATGGTTAACTACTTGCACCTTCTTGATGTAAAATCCAAAGTTACCGATTGGTCTGCCCAAATGTCAAAGAGCCCCAGTGGTTCGATCGGAACGGTACGATCCAACTCTCGTGCGCCTAAGTAGTGTGATAGTCGCGAGATAGAGGCCGATACTTGGTGTTGCTCGCCCTGCCTATTGCGCACTCACCTTGTACACCTTGTACTCACGAGCTATTGTCTTGCTTCTGAAGCCTGTTACTTGATGTAGCTATATTCCCTACTCCAAATGGATCCTTGCGCTAATGAAGACGTATAGGATAAGACGTATATAGTGGCAAGGGCCGGGGTTGCATAGAGCTATTTCAAGTGGCAGTGACAGATTATGGCTATCTTTGTCAAATAACCGCTGGGTCAGTCTTCCCAGTCAATGCTCGTCATTTAGATTCCGCTAGAAGAGTGAAGATTGCCTCCAGCAGAAAGCATTGTGCTCCATTTCTTGATCAGTACAAAGTACTTGTTCAAAGTAGCTTCATCGATTTTGTGTCTTGTATCCGGAGGTCTTGAGAGAACGGTCCCCTGTTAGGGGGCGAGGCTGGCCAATTAGCCGATATGGACTAGCTCTCTAGGCAGCCAGCATTATATGATTAGAATGAGGCTCTCAATCCTTTGCTGTACTCCTTTTGGAATCCTCTTGGCACGGTGCTGGATGATCGGCACTGACTGTTCTAGAGAAGGTTCATGTTAACTGACGTAATCGGGAAGCAAGCCGCACACCACTGGCGTGCTCGACGCGCCTCAGTTTTTTTAGATGATTTACGCACCAGCTGTTGTATCAAAAATCCTAAACTATCAAAGTCTCGCATTGCGCAGGAAGGTAAAATCTTACTAGCCAGTTCAGCTTGAAAAAACAAGGGAATTAGGGGCCTGAGAAAGACAGCTGAAATTTTTAGTATGCCACAGCGGTAATCCATCTAACGAATCGGCCGCTAAGCGTGTCCCATCTAAATATTTAGGCTGTGATAGACGGGGTCATACAATTACGCACTATCTGAATCGATGGAACGACTTATTTTCATATAGAAGTTTTAGTTCATAGTATTTTGATCAGTTGTAATTTCGAGATGTGTGGCTCGCGTACCGATTATGTTAGGGTTGACATACTTAGTTCAACACGAGTGATAGCAGAGGGTTTATGATCGCCCCAGAATATGATAGAAAACAATCAAGATCGATACTATCACTCGCCTCATGTTGAACTTTAAATTTGTAACCTTTTTCTTTGTACTATTACCTAGTTAAGTAATTCGGGTGTGATTATAGAGAGAAACAAAAATAGGGGGCCCAAAAACACCCAACAGCCTAAGTATGGTGGTGGTCACCAGGCGCTGTGTGGGCGGCTTGCCGCCCTATTCAGTCTTACTTCAGGGCACTTCAGGCCCCTGTTCACCCACCCAAATACTCTGCACCCTAGCTAGAAGGAAGTCACATTTGCGCAAAATAAGACTAAAAAGCGGCAACACACCCGCTTTGTTGCGGAGTAGCCGCTATGCTCCTCTGTACTCCCTTCCCCAGTAAGCATGAAAGTTTTAAGATCTAAATAATTCAACTTCACTCTTAAAATCTACATTACTCATAAGCTGTAAATTCACTGCATACCAAGACTTGGACAATATGGCAGAAAGAGGCGTGCCAAGGCTCAATCAGACAATTAATCTAGACAACCATGGCAATTTTAATATAACTCAAGCCGTTCTCTCATGCATTACAAACCAAGTATAATCAAGCTTAACAGAGATTTAACAAGGTAGTTATAAACATTCTTCTCAGAGATTTGAAACTGATCCTACGAGCCCAGGAGAAGACTGTGCCTCGGCAGAGAAGGGGATATCATATAACTAGTACAATATATCTAATTGGAAGTTATAAATAATACTTCCTTGTTAAACTGGACTTTTGCGGCGAGGCGAAGGGAAGAGGTAGGACCCGGCTCTAGAGCCCGCGTGGGGAGGACGTTTGCGAAAACAAAAGCAGATCCTCTTCTGGACCCTTTGCAATCAAAGACCTCAAATCCGCAAAATAAATCTCCAGCCCAAACATCCGATTTATCTCCTCTAACAACTGATTCGTCGGCTCTTAGTTAGCAGCCCACCCCCTTCAGATGTTGATCTGCTTCACGTACAATTTGAAGCTATTTAATGAATTACACAATCTCACTTTGCAAATCGATCAAAAACAGTAGTTTATAATTTTTATCTATCTATTTAGCTATCCTTCTAAGCAGTTAAAACCTTTATATCTACTTGTATATAGAGATATTACTCTCTAATTTTTATTTCTTCAACTACTGTAGTTCTCTTGCCTTTTCTTTTTATTGTTAGAATTAAGATAATGTTTAGTATTATGGATAATTAATAGTGTAACAATCATGAATTTTTATTCTGAAATCGAGAATCGCATCCCTAAAGCCTGCGAAGGTGCTGAACGCGTCAAAAATCCGAATATATCAGCGTTGTCGCGTCAATTTGACGTTCCTTATCAGGTACTCCGGGCACGTTTTAGGGGGCGAGCAACTCGATCTTCACATCCTATCCCAATCCTAGCGCTTGATAAGGCACAGGAAAAGGCGCTAATTTGTTTGATTTAACGGCTTGATTTCTTACATTCTCCGCCTACTCCTGCGATGATCGAGCTTGCTGCAAATCAGATTCTTTGACAGAATGCAGACGGTGAGGCGCGTACAGTTTGCAATGCTGGGTCTATCGCTTTATTAAACGTCTACCTGAGGGTTTTGAATTGATCAAACAGAAACCTAACGAAAAGAATCGACTGAATGCGGAGGATCTCGGTGAAATTTAACATTATTACGACGGTTTGGAGGGCTTTATCTCGCAGCTTCCAGCGTGGAATATCTACAACTTTGACGAAACTGGCTTCCAATTACGTCAAGGCAAAGCTCAAAAAGCCATTACAACCAGATCTAATCAGGTCGTACAAGGCAGAGTGAAGAAAGAGATAGAAGAATTAGTTTCTGCAATTGAATGTATTGCTCCTGATGGCTTAATTCTACCGCCTTATTTTTATCTTCCAAGGCGCTGTCCGTATGGAGCGGTGGTATGAATCTGATATCCCAGGCGATTTCCGTATAGCCGTGTCCTCTAGGAGTTACTCTAGCGATCTAGTCGGTCTTTATTGGATCTACCATTTCGATCGCTATACCAGAGATGATCTAACGCGGAAAAATGAGCCCTGATTACTACTTTCCACGGCCACGGATCCTATTTAACGTACAACTTCCTTCAGTTGTGCGGCGAGAACTATATTGTTTCTTACTATTTTCCGCCTCATATAACACACCTAATTCGACCATTTGATGGTCAGCCATTACAGGTGTATCAAAACTACTATTGGGACCGGAACAACTGCCTTGCCATGACTATGTAGTCATGGTTTCGCCATATGTACAATAATCTCTCTGCTGTCTTATTTATGAATAGACGTGGTCTACTGGACAGCTTTGTACATATATAAGTTGGCTGTCAGCTTCTCGCTGTTCCAGAGATTAATATAGGATCGAATTGCGGCAGAATTATACTACAGTAAATTGAGGGCTAATGCTAGTCGTACATCTACGCTTTTCTTATCCAGTCACGTGGATGTATGTTACCTGTGGCTTGTACCAGCTGCCATTTTTCAAATATCGCCATGTCCTAGGCGCATTCAGCGGAGCATACGGCAATTACAAATAACCGGATCAAATAATCCGTTGCTTTGTACAGGACAAGAATAAGACAGATATTGAAGCAATCAACAGGTCAGTCGTAAATATTTGGGGAGAAAGCCAGCTGGCGATTGGTTTCTCTCAGAATCTAATCGACTTAGGATGTTGAAGGCGGCGAACAGGGCCATTCAATTAACTTAGAGAGGAGAGGGACGAAGAAAATCCGATTGAGCTTCAGATATGTTGTTTTCTTTTCGCATAGCACCTGCACTACCCAGCATATAGGATTGTCTAACCTGAGCAAGACGACTTGCACCTTTACGAGACGCTCAGGATAAGCCAATTCGTGAAACCAAGAAAGTCGTACAACTTCAGTGTAGCGGCTAGGAAAACCTTCTTTAGAACCCCTGAATGTATACTGCCGGCAGAAACCATCACGTCGTGAATTGTTGCGGAGTGGCCGCAATGGCTTGCGGTAGTAGACGGGTTTCAGGTTACTTTCAGGCGGAGCGCGATGTTCAGGGCTGGAGGGGGCTGAAGGCAGAGCAGCAAGGGCACTAACTAACAGGTATAAAAAAAGAAAAAGAAAAACATACAACAGGAGGGATTCGCTGGTGGTCACCCACCCAACTACTAACCTCCCGGCGTGTGGCTTAAGTACGGCTGAGCGGACGGGAAGCCCTGTTCTCCACACCCTATGGTCGTATGTACTAGTTTGCCCTAAGTGATGGCCTATATGGATAGGGATATACACAGACGTTAGTCGTTGCTTACTCCGCTGCCATGTACGCAATTCCATTGAATTACAGCCATAAGATCCACATAACTCTGGTAGTCCGCTCCGTTTAGAAAGGCGGTTTGGATTGCCTCGGTGGTACAGTATCTCGATCCATACTTGCTGTCCACCTCGCAATATGGGAATGCTTTTGCGTGGGGCTCCCTCTCGAGCTTCTGGCGCACCAGCTGGGCCACGCCGGGATCAGTCCACGAATCATCCAGGTCAAGCATCTGCAGTTGACTTTCTTCCCAAGTGAGCTGAAAGCTTGTAAGCTGAGAAAAAGGCTCTTGCGCGAGAGTGGTAAATAGCTCTCGCCAGTTGATCGCTTGTCCATATTCACGTGGCCGCTCGCCACTTGCAAAACAGTCTTGGAATGTGATAGACTCCAGTGTGGTCTTGTGTCGAACAAGAAAGTCGCGTAACTCGGAACAGAGGATAATGTTGCTCAATGTAAGCCTCCGCAGCCTTGGCATTGTCGTGTCTCTCAGCCCGATGTCCTCGTAATACGGTTGCCCTCCGTTGCCGAGCGATGCCGTGTCCCGGGGATCGAAGGAGAATTCTTCCACGGCAGCTAGGTTGTTGAAGAAAAAGGGGCCTAGATAGTGTGAGAAGTCGCCGAAGATTGGTTGGGTCATCATGGTCCACCCAACGCCGTTATCCCATCTCCTTATAGAGAGATTGAAAGTCGTAAGCTGTGACAGGAACGACTGGAATGCTTCGGTTGTGAAAATTGATACCATGAAAATGTTCAGATCACGGAATTCGATGGATAGAGGCAGTTGACCAGTAGATGAGGAGTTGGTGTAATTCGACACAATTGCGTGAAGGCTTGCTGCCATCAGTCCACGCCAGGCATTTTCACTCTCCTCGGATAGAGCATTCTCGGGGTAGAATATATCACTTTGAAAATAGTTGATCAATAGGTCATCGTCGTAGTCGAAGGGGAATTCGATCACGAATTTGTCAAGACTACTAAACATGCGTAGATTGGACAGCACTCGGTCAACCTCTAGGGGGTACACCTTCTCCAGTGGCGAGCTCTGCTGATCTGCGGAGCGTATGGTTAGATTTTCTTGCGTTCATCATTGTGATTCTATGCCACATACCCGTCTCACAGATACCAATGTAGCGCAGCGTCTTGACACATGCAGCATGCCGCCCCTGGCTAATCGCAGTAATTGACTGGGCGCTTTTGGTGGTATTGTACAACTCGAGGTTGGCAAATATGCTGGGGGCAAGGAAGTTCCGAAACCATGTACAAGTGCTACTCATATTTATGAGATCTGGAAGGTGAGGTAGTCTCCGAGTTATAGTCTTGGGTTTCCAAAAACTATCAGGGTCCTCGTCATCGTCCTCTTCCTCATTCGGTTCAGGGTCTTCACGGAGAATGTCAAGCACAATATACCACACATCAAGCCCGAGCGAGAAAAGCGGGGACACACGCTGGTCCACTGAGTGAGCTGCTAGTGCCATTGTAAAATGATTTATCCTATGGTCAGAATTAATATCTTCGTAGAACTGGCGTCAGCGCTCCATATATATGTGTGCCTTTAATTATCCCAGATGACCTGTTGTAATAGACAACATAGCATCTCCTGTCGTTGGTGCCTAAGCCAAGACAGTAGCGCTTGCCTGCCTAGAAGAGATAAGTACGAGTATTACCGAGGCTGTCGTATTGAGTTTACTTCTTACCTCATCATGCTTTAAATTAGCGAGTAGCTTCATTCCCAACTTCAAAGTTGAAAATCTTGCAGTAGTGGGATTACCTGTCTTACTTTTCGCGTAGGTTTCTAATGATGAACGTGATACTACTATGGTTTATAGCTTCGTCAAGGCGGCCCCCTCCGGGATGTGACCTCAACTAGGAGTAGAAGACGAAAGCAACGAACATACAGAGCATAACTGGGGTTAGCGAAGTGCACACTTGACACCATTCTGCAGAAAAGCTAGTTCGAAGCATGACCCAATTCCTGTCCTATTCCGCTAAACCATCATCGACGATCCCACTCGTTTATGGATGCCGCGGACACGTAAGATCAAAATGCCCTCTGTAAGGCAAACATGAGAAAATAATTGGTAGTAAGGTTCGAGTTACATCTGAATATGTATTTGAAGAATAGTGGGCAGATGCGGCCATCTTTCCAGTACAGGGCCAGGGCTGGGAACAGAATATGTCTAAGTAAGCGAGTTTGTATGAAGCTGTAATACACGTATATCACGATCTCCATGGTCCTATTCAGAGTACGGCTTCTCACTACCCTTGGCGGATGTCAGTTTATTGTTGTATGTACACACAGGAATTACATATACACCCACAATTGTTGGCTTTAATGTGTTCTATAATAGGTTAAAGAGGACTCGTATACGCAGCCATTCGAACAGCCGTTTTAAGTAGCGGGTCGTTTAGGAGACAAGAGGAGAATGTGCAAGGACTATGTATACTGATAGTAGATATTACCACACTGGAGACAAAAGACAGTGTATTGGAACAGTATTCTATCCTAAAGTCATCGCTTTAACCTACCATTTTCACATCTACGCCCTGAAACAATGACTATTTCCTCACACAAGACCAAGATGGCGCAAGATATGGCACGAGTCCGTCCGCCACATTCACATCCCATGAACCCAGCTACGCCACCCAGACATGTCCACCCCTATTTACAGTCATCATTGTTTCCAGCACCCTTGTTGACACACCACCAGGTGCATCTCTCTACAAGGCTGACTCCTCCACCACACTCACAATGCCACAAGTAATTTTAGGGCTGGTAGGTAACAGCAGTCCAGTCGTGGCCGTACTTTTTCTTGATCACAGCCCACATGAGCGTCTTATGTTTGGCATCCCGAGTTATCGCATAGATTAACTGGGATTCCAGAATAATTTTAGAAGGGTCTAAGCCTTACCAACATCCTTCAACACACCAACACGAATAGTTCCTACCTGCAGTGCAATCTCCAGGCTAAACCGAGGTTGTCAAGGCCAGAACGCTAGCAATAAGAGCGGAAGTGAGCTTCATGATTGGCCGAAATCTTGAAAGTCATATCGGAATGTATGCTTGAAAGGAAGGAGAGATTGATTGAGATTGTGACCGAGGTTATGAGAATCTGAGGTGAACGCACAGGGGGCTATATATACCTCTGACCGAGGAGTAAGTCCCATGATTTGATATTTTCTCATATGCCGTGTCGTCATAATAACACCAAGACCGAACTCACGCTGCAGCTCAGGTCATATCTTTGTTTGTAAATGAAGGATATGCCCTGCTGAGCTCTGGCTGACTGGCCAGATGCGGCTTCCTGTTCTACTTTTGTGGAGATATTTATTTTTCTTGCTATTCATTGAATCCACCGACTTGATGCTCCTGGTACGCCACTATCCCTTCCTTGCTTTGATAAATTTGTCGATAAGCAGTACTTTTAGTCCTGTTAGCCCTATTGACAGCGTTAATTTACTTTATTCTGTTGCTTTATATATTAAATTACTTACGTCCTAAGAAATACCCATGTCCGAAAGCTCCATACGTTGAGTGAGTGGATAAATTGCGGCCCGGTCGGCCCGTACCTCGCTGGAGCTTCCCACGTGGAACATAATTGATAGATCATTTTCTTTTACTGTGGTAGGGTGCGTTAGGATCGTGTGTGGAACTGCCACAACCACTGTGGCAAGAGCATCACCGCCTCTCTCAGGTCCTATGATATTTTGTATATAGCTGGCAAAATTCGAACAAGGAAACGATATACGAACCTATCAACAGGGATCAGCACGATCTTTTAGCACCCTGCCGCGGTATTTTCAAAGAAAAAAACAGAAAGAGACTATTCAGGATGGGTATTGCCAACATATCTGCTTGCCTGTCCGGCTGCCTACCTAATTACGTGATAGTCAGCCAATAACTAATACGGTAGGGGATGTACCTGCTAATACTATAGCAGCTGAGCTCCCAGGATGTCCCACGATGTCTTCCACCGCACCGTGGGGGAGCCGAGCCATGAGAAGGTCTCTCAAGGCCAGTTACATTTCCTTCAGCCCATCTGGAGTAAGTCACATGATATATCCTCAATGCATGCCTGATCGCTCTTTTTTCTTCGCCTTACCCAGTACATCTTACCATTCTAGATATCGACCTCTTACATGGCTGGTAGCTACTCTGTATTCCTTCTCACTCTCTCGTTTAATGTACATAATGGAGCCACTGTTTCATAAAGGCTGCCCATCAAGCTCTGCTAGATATTCCCCCCTTCACGTCCACGAATTTCGTCCTTACTCATCAGGGTATCGGTCCCCAAAATGATATCTTTCGCTCAAGATAGACTAGTCTACTTGGCTATACATGGCCCCAACCTTTTGAAAGTACTACTATATCTTCTCACCAACGCTAGATCGGCTTTAGCGCTCTGGTGTTATCATTTATCCCCTCCTATCCAACCGAACACCTACCGCTACAGTCTATTGTATATGGATTTGAATCAGCTGCATTCCCATGATAATGCCGTAAATGAAACCGAGCCTTAACTCTACTTTAGTTGTAACTAGCGAATACTCACTGATACCACATATTGTCTCAATGAGAGCACTACCGTGATGGTCAAATCGGACTTCCTTCAGCTGCGCCGGAGCAAACCTATACATCACCGAGCAGGAAAACAAGGAAATGAGGTTTGCCACCAACAAAGAGCTCCAGCTACTGATCAAGGAGATGACCTGGCTGTTGGCAGGTGGAGGCTGGTAGATACATATATACAATGTCTTTCTTTTTTAGCGTCGGTGACCCACGGTTCTGTGATTTAAACCCAAAACCTAAGGAATGGGCGTTGACCGGTTTCCCACTTCCAAAAGCGAGCTCAACCGTGAACTAAATAGTGTATCCACCTCACTCGGAGCAATGAATTGAACCCTTGCAAGGGTTACCTGCTGATCTGTTCCACATGTGCCACTAGCACAGCAAGCTGGGCTCTCGGGTGTGCATCCATTCTCATTACAACTGCATTTATTTTCCGCTTTCTGCGCATAAACCATCCACTGGATGCAGCCATCGTCAGACGACACAATAAAGGCACCGCCGTATTTATCAGCATTCCCTTTATCGCATTTAGAGACAATCTTTTGGTATGCACTTGTACACTGTTGCGGATAGTTCAGTCTCGGTCAGATATGAGGAAGGAGGATACCTACTTTGTCTTTTACTAGCTTCACTCCCTTCTCAGGGTGGCATCCAGATTGATTATCTGCCCATTGCAAAGAGGCGATGACATTAATTCCCGCTTGGCCAGAGTAGACATAGTTGTAAGGGGGACCTTGAGGGTTCAGAGTGTTGCCGGATCCGCACAGCGAAGATACTGCTGAACTGACTGAGGCGGTGTCGAACGACGCGAACGAGCCGTCATTATGGTCATTAAAGCAATAAACGGGGAATGAACCTGGGTCGCTGACTGTTGGTATAGGTATAGAAGTTGTGCCGGACGGCTGGGAAGAGGTAGTGGTTGATGGTTGCGTCGTTGTAGTCCCTTCGCCGCTCGCTGTGTATCGATTGTCGGACCCTAGAGTAGGTATAGGGCCGTGGGGGTCCCAAGTCCCTACTGGTGCATTGTCTGTTGGCAGTGGGCAGAGATTCGTTGTTGTTGCTGTGGTCGCTGTTGTGCCCTTGGTTTCGCAGCCGAGCGTGGTGGAGCATTCGGTTGTGAAACATGCTGTTGTACGTGAAGTATCGCCATAGTTCGTGACTGAGCAGCCCACCTTGCAATTCGTTGCCGTCACGCTAGTTGCACACGTGGTTGGTTCTTTTGTGGTTGTAGACCCTGTGTCCTTTCCTCCACTACAACCTTCAGGGTCGTAGCAAGTACATCCATTTCCACTGCAGCTGCTGCAACTAGGGCCCGAACAACCGCAACTGGATCCCAGACAGCCACACCCAGCCCCAGAGCAACCGGTACAGCCAGAAGAAATGCATTTGCAGAACAGTCCCAGAAGGCCTGAGCAGCTACATCCCAAGCCAGAACACGCAGTGCAGTGTGGGCCTTTACAACCGCAGTGTCCGTGAGAGCAGGCACAGTGTATTCCTACACAAGCACTGCAATGGAGTCCGGTGCAACGTCCGGAGCTCGGGCTACAGTCCTTGCCTGAGCAACTCACACAGTCGTCTCCGATACAGCGCCCATCATGACAGTCCTTCCCTTTGCATGCGTTGCAGTCATCTCCAGTACACTTTCCGTCCTCGCAGCCTTGCCCTGTACAACTACTGCAGTCGTCTCCTGTGCAACTGCCCCCACCTCCAGTAGAACAGTCGGCACCTGTACACCCATCATAGCTGGTGCAGGAACTTCCTGTACAAGCGCCTGAGACGCATCCAGAACCGCTGCAAGTTCCCTCCCAGCAGTTGGGACCATGGCAAACGCCATCCTTCCCACAGTCCAATCCAGAGCACCCCAAAGCGATGCAACGGTCACCACTACACTTCCCATCACTGCCACATTGTGGGCCTACACAACCTGCCGTGATGCAGCCAGAGGAGATACATACCCCATCCTTACAGCCTGGCCCAATGCACCCGCGGACAACGCAATCACTTGGACCCGTACAAACACCGTTGAGACACCCAGTCCCGGTGCAGCCAAAGGAGGCGCACAGAAGACCCGTGCATCGCCCGCCTTTGCAGTCAGGGCCCTTGCAATGCCCATTAGTAACCACTGGCCATGGCTGGTCACCGGTGGGTACAGGGGTAGGGGGGCTTGTGGAGCCGCCACTGCCACCGCCTCCACTTCCCCCGTCCCCAGCTCCGCCGCCATTCGGACACCAAGCGGGTGGAGGAGGACAGGTCTGCGCTGCGCTCCCTCCGGCAGTCGGAGAAGGGGCCAAAACACAGGCTCCCCTTTCAGATTCTAGATCACCATTGAAAGCGCTAACGCACCACTCATAATTCCAAGTTCCCGGGAAGAGAAAGTATTGATCGCTGCAGGTAGTTTCGACCGTGCCGTTTTGCGCAGTAAGCACGCTTGTGCTGTCGTGCACATTTCTATTCCAAAGACGATATCCAGCTGCGTTTGCCGATTTGCCCCACGTCATATGGACCGTTGTTGGATCATTGGCAAATATTTTCAAATCAGCCGGCGGGGCTGGAGTCCCAGCGCCAGGCACAACGCCGGTAACAATTGCTGGGAACCCTTCACCTGCAGAATTCCACGTTTCGATGGCTATGAAATAATAATGCCCCGACTTGAGATTGTCAATGTGCCCCGAGGTTCCGGTGAACGCCCCCCCTGTGATAAAGGTACAATCCACGGATTTGTCCCAGTAAAGTACATTATACTCGATAATAGAATCAGTATAAGCGCCGGTGGGAGGATCCCAAGAGATGTCAAAACCAGTTGTAGTAGCTTTAACAACTACATTACGGGGAGCCGCCGCAGTCTGAGGATGCGCTGTTGCAGACAGTACTGATGTCCAGTCTCCTTTGAAATTGTCCCCAGCGCTAGCACGGACCCTAACCTCATACACCCAGCCGTCAATGGGCCAGGTCGAGTCCCATCGCGGTGTAGAGACACTCCCTGGCGAAAAGTTGGGGATGCCACCTTGAATGCGAGACTGAACATCGTAGCTGTATGCTCCATAGACTACCGATGTTCAATTAGCACCAGCTATAGCACCACCTCCTGTTACTGTAGGAACCTACCTGGATCCCATGTAGCTGTTACTCCCGTGGCGCTGGTAAAGACTTTAAAATTGGACGGTACAGAGAGTGGTCTGCCAGGTAGATTATCAGGGATAGATAATGGGGAGTTTCCAATCTTGAAGTCTTTCACTAGAGTACGAGTAAATGCATGAGCAATTTGATACTCACCCCTCGCAGTTGGATGAAGTCCGTCCTAGCCGGCTGCACATCCACTAGGTTCACAGTCGTAATTCTCCTGTAGCTCGACAAGAGAGATTGAGGAATCGGCTGTACTCCATTTCGGGATTGAGTCGCGTAACAGGGCGTTATAGATATTGGTACTGACCGGAAGATCCTCTCGGCCTCCAATGAAGCTTCGTTGCGGTACATTAGCAATGGCAAATTTAAGCTTTGGGTTAACAGAGCGAGCGTTGGTAACAAGAGTGTGGATACTATCCAGAGTACCTCCAGAGTCACTGTAGAACCATCCCATATCATTGAAGCCCAGCATCAGGAGCATCAAATCTGCAGGGTACGTGCTGAGCACATCATAGATCAACCCCTTATCAACAGCTGCTGCACGACCCCAAACCGCGAAATGGTCTTTATCAAAGTCCGGGGAGACGTCGGCAGCATAGCCACCGCTCGTCTTTGGCTTTCCAGGTAATGGCTTTTGCCCGTACAAAGCAGGTACTGCCGGTGCTGCCGGATGGTCAGGTTGAACTGTGCCGGTGTACGGTCCGACAAAATCGACAGCAACTCCCTGTTCCTTGAACCATTGCCAGATACGATAACGCCAGGTGTAGTCACCTTCTTGACCTTGCGTCATTGAATCTCCAACGATCATGACTCTTAGCGCGTTCCCGCGTCCAATCAGGCCATTAACGGTCATCCCGGTATCTGAGTCCGTCCTGATAGAGTCTCTTATAGCCGCCATCATCTGCAGAGTGTCGTCCTTAGCGTCGTACGTTAGTAAGGGTGGCATAAGCTTGGCAACCTGTGTCCAAGTGTTGTAATCATCGATAGTTGTTGGTAGAGGGATTGGTGGGACACTGGCCAACTGAGATACCTGAGCCGAAATGAGAGATTCTATAGCCACGGCGGACGAGAATGCGATAGTTGGACTAGCCGTTGCTATAGGGCCATCGACGCTGAGTGAAGCACTGCTCTCGGTAGCTCGTTGCGCCAACCACCATGGGAAGGAAATAGCACGAGCTGATGGGAGGAAAAAATAAATGATTGCAAGGTAAAAATGGACATAGAAAAGCCCATGTCCCTATGTCGCCATAGGCTTCCCTCGGGGTGAGCCATCTTAACTTTGGTCCGACTAAGCCTGAATTTTGGAATCTATGGTGATGGTCGCCAATTTATAGCATCTTCCTTCTGCCTTGTGCCCCAAAGGTTGCTTGTGTACCTATGTACCACCCTCATCTCACAACTCCATTGGCACAGCTTACACCTTGCCCATCGGCGGCAAGTCAGGGGCGAAGGTCACAGTCTAACCTCGAGTATCAAGAGGTAGATTGCCGATATGCTCTATCCTGATCAGGGTGACATCGTGGACGTCTAGCGTGTAAACTAGACCAGGATCTATCACAGATATCTCTCCTCGCACGGCTTGGTTCTGTGCATTGCCGGCTCTCTCCGACATTGGAGTTCTCTCAACAGGGGTGTGAGCAGGAAGAAACCGGCGAAAAAAGCAATAACAGTTGAGAGTAACCAGATTCGGTCCATGATGCGACGCTAAAAACCAGGAACACGCCATTTTCAAATAACGGGATGATAATAGTATAAAATTGGATGATGAATGTGGAGAATGTTTCAGAGATTGAAGTTGGAATTGGGATGGTGGATCACATGAGGACAACAGTTCGCGACAGAACGATTGCACGCTACAGCCATCTGCCGACGTTATCTCGGTTAGTAGATCATACGGGCTAATAGGATGTAGCATTTACATGGATATCTCGGGTTCTCGAGGATCCGGCGCCAATTATTGACATCTGATCCTCCAATATTGATCAATGCTACATAACTATACCTGATCAGAAAGATTAGATTGCAATCACGGGATTCAGGCCAACATGCGGCGGAACAAGGACCAATCGGGGAACCCCCATGTGGTTTGCTTCCCCTCATCTCGTTTGTATTGTTTAACCTTGAATTCTCCCCGTAAAGCTTAATCGGGGATAGCTGGGCTAACCCATCAATCTATTAATATATCAGGGTCTAGACCAGCATTTCTTCCTTTGCCTTTCAACTCATCGCGGAGATTTCCAAGCCATGGCCCCCCTGACTTTGGATAGTCTTCCAATGGAACTGATTGAGACTGTTATCAATTTTCTGGACTTTCAAGACCTCTGTGCCCTTCGTTTAACTGCACATGGTATTTCGGTCAAATCATCCAATGGTCGATTCCGTCAGAATTTGAAATCCAAGAGATTACACATCGCACAGGCCCCCTTGGAAGATTTCGCTCACTTTACTCAACCAGGCCAGGTTGGCTGTGTGCTCCAACATCTTACTTTATCCGACTTTGGGGTGGCAAATGCGTCTGACAAGTGCCTTGAGGCAGCTAAGCTGCTAGTGCAAGGAATGGAGAACCTGCGCCAAAATACTTCACATGGTGGCTTAATATCTCTGTCTCTTTCCCTTCACGAGCCAATAGATTCAGAGCTGGAAGAGGCAGAGCATGCCACGGCAAAGTTGTTTGACCTTGTTATGCTGGCACTCAGCAACAGCAAATTGTCTGTGCAGATCGTGGATATTTTTGCTAAATGTTTCCCCATTCGCTGTGCCCTAGCCTGCGGTGAAATAATGGCAGTTATGGAGAAAGCAGACCTGTCTTCCACATTCAGAGAGTGTAAAGAGCTATGTTTAAGCTTGTCACACTGGTTACGCGATCTCGATGAGCACTACGAGTCTCCGCTATCCTTTGATCAAGCTAGGGATCATACCCGATTTATCTGTGATTTTGTGAATATGTTCCCAGTGCTAGAGGAACTTCACTTGGCGTGGGTATATTACGATCTCGCCTACACGGATGCCATACAGGAAGAAGCGCATTTCTTTAATCGAATCGCAAATTCCTGTCCATTCCCATTGCTCAAGAAGTGTACCTTTCATAACATTCGCACGACCGAGGCAGCTCTGCTTCAATTTCTCAAAAACGTTCAATTGGCCAGTCTATCGATGGAAAAGGTGTATCTGGTCAGTGGAAGGTTTGAGTCCATTTTTCATCATCTATCCACTTCCCAGCCAAATTTGGAATATTTGCATCTCCATCAGCTGGTGCATGATCCATCTACTGTTTATTTTGATGTGCCTCACGTGCCCCAATACCCTCGTATTAGGGGTAGGGGCAACAGAAGAAACCTGGGACCTATTTCCGTTACACGAATGGGAGCCGATGCAAGGAGACTGGTAGGAATCATTAATCGGCATCATGGGCAGTAGCATGTTAAGAACCGAGGGGTTTTCTTTGAACCTCGGGGAAATGGTAATTTAATTTTCAAAAATATTGTCCCAAATCCCCTGCTTGAGGTGCACCGGTAAATAGATTAATAATGACATGTCTGCTGCTGCATTCCGCCACTTGCAAGACCATCGAGGGCCCATGTTGACCTCCATAGTCAGCAATCCCCGATCCCTGCTCCCGATTATGAGCTAAACTAGCCTATGTAACCTCATTTATAAAGATAGAGTTAGAACGAGGTCCCTATTCCCAAGAACGGTATAAGTTGTGACGCGGGAATGCAGGCCTATAGGAGTAGTACGGCCCATATTCTTTGATAGTTATTGATAATCTACCACACTGACTTGCATGTTTCTCCTTACAATCATAACGCGAGAAGGAATCTCAGCAAGCCATGTTGCTGATAAAGAAAAGGATGCTTTGCATCCTTTTCCTGCTTTTTTGGAAACAAAGCAGTGCTAGGATACCACCAGCGACCCCGTCGGGCACTTTGCAGCCACTACCGTTTGGGCTGGCGTATAATGCAAACCACACCTTGAACTCTCGAGGGTACGTTGAAGCTACGATAAACCCACTATATCTGACGTTCTTAGGGATCCCGACTGTGCCGGAAGCTTCGATGCCTCATCTTGTGAGCCCATATGTAGTCCATCTAGCTTTCACTGTTCAAAGGGCTTGAGGTCACGCAGTTACCAGGACTGGTTCCACAATGCAACCGATGGCAATTATACAGAATCCGATTCCGGACCAAAACTATTTCTCGGGAAACGGGCTTTCAAGACTCTTACACTCGCCGAAGTTAGGAAATACGTCGCAAATAGCTATGAACAACCAGATCCCTATTTTGGGCAGCCTCTTGAGATTATTCAATTTGACGACGACGGGGAGTCAACAGATGACTCCGGCACACAGCAAGTGATATTTGGAAGCGAGCCATTTCAGATTGGCACGGACAGCTTAACAGGCTGTACTATAGTCACCGTCGTCTCGAAGCGAGCGGTCTATATGGTATGAAGCACACTCTGTCGAACTTGAGGCTGCGGACAATGGCTAATATATCTAAAGGGACATTACTGGGAGAACCCAAGCTGGGGTAATGCGCCTAAATTTACGAGAAATGTCCTGAACTTTATCGCTGGGCGTACGCCGCGATCGGGAGTCGGTCCAACCTTAGACCCAGAGCTTTTCAATGCTCCGGATGATGATACACGTATATACCTCATGCACCCACGCTTGGGACAGAAGGAGCATAAATCGCCGTATAAATCGCCTAGGTACTGGAAAAAGTTCGAAGAGTTGAAGAATCTGCTCAATACAGAGCTTCTGCCCGGCGCGGCCACGGCCTCATGGTTCTACATTACAGCTGAAATGTCGCGCGAAGTTCCCGCATACAGGCGGCACGCCATATTCCAATATGACCCGGTTGCTCATGGGCGTAATAAGAAAGGCTGGAGGCTCTTTTATGAAGATCATTACTTTGATGATACAAATCCACCCCCAGGTCCTGAATCTGCTGATGGCACCCCTGATCTATGATAGTGAATCTCAGCAGATCTGGATTGGGGAGCTCATGGCTTCGGGCTTCGACTCACTCTGAACCTATCTCGAAATGGAACCGTGTTTTGGACCTTCAATCAGCTCTGTGATCGATAGTGACAGTCTGTGTGGCATGGTTTCTTTAGGCCATGCAAGCCTTCACTGGACGGTAGTTGATAGCTTGGTTTGTGAAATTATGTATCTCATCCTACTCTTAGTTGGGTTAAGAATAGAAATGTGTGCGCATGGAGATTAGTCCCATTATTCTGATCGTATATCTCGCTGAGTTGAGGCATAACATGGTCTAGCCAGGGTATATTTACGTGGTCGGTAGTTTAGCCATCTGCATCTTTCCCATATTGCCAATCAAGTAGTAGCTCTATTGCTTCCCAGCCCAGCCATCAACGTGTATCTAGGCTTTGAGGATAATGGCCTCATCGAAGGTTTTGTTTTCAGTACTCACAGAGTCACACGTCCAAGGGCTTTTTCAGCGTACAATTAAGGTATCAGTACGTAGGTGGGTGGCCATAAGCCTTGCACTTAGGGCATGTTAAGTCGGAGTTACATTGTGCGCAGTAAACGGGAGATGGTTTCAGCCGGAGTGGAAATCGTTCGATATGACCTCTAATTAACGGAGCCTCACATTATCCTTAACTGTATTGGGTGCGTGATAACCTTCAAGACTCTTGTCAACAAGCCCAGCTATAACGCGCTCTTCTCGAATCCTGAGTTACTGTCTAGCAAACACTACTTTCCTGGCCAACCAGCAGCCAATCACTACACTAGCAATGTGACCGTGGTCATCACGCTGGAATACTACAGTCCAATTCCCGGGCGCCGGCGCATCTAGGCCTCGTGGGCATGAGAGAAGCCAGATATCCTGCCCAATATATCGCATGAGGTGTGGTGGTCCTTGCCCCAAATATCCTTCAAAGTTCCCATATAGCATACCACCTTTGCCACTGCAACGAAAGGTCGAGTCGACTTCTGCACAGTAATATTCGCCGACGTAAAGGTCTTTAGGTGGTTGCTGGCCAGTAGCAGCACGCTCGGCATGGATGAGATGATTGTCGGCTAAACGATGGAGTGTGAGGGTGTCACCATTTATTGTGGCAGTTATATTACTTGATTGAGCTTTGCCCTCCTCAACACAGGCCAAGGTCTCTCCAGAACCCCCGTACGTGACGGTCAAATGGCCCTGACGGCCGTGCCCAACCTCAACAACCAGCCCGGCATCCGGATCATAGAAAGCGCCAAACCAGTCCGGGGAGGGATTAACAGGGTTAAGTCTAGGATTTTGGCCCTTGAAGATGTTAAAGGCCCCTTGCATAATATCCTGGGCCACCGCTTCTGCATCAGCCTGATGGTTGAGCATAACTACAATTGCGAGCTTCTCCGATGGGGCCTGGATTCTATGGAGGCGGAATCCACGAAGAGCACCACCATGGCCGATCGTGGCCACGCCCCTGACAATACCGTGCCCTAGGCCGTACCCATATCGTGCAAGTGTGCCATCGTTAAACGACTGTTGATGCGCGATGGTACGATATAGACTTTGCTCGTCATCCCAGCAAGTCTGCAAATAATCTTCATATGCAATCATATCCTTGAGGGACGCGACAACCCCTGCATCGCCAGACCATTGCATGCGATTGATGGCTGGAACGAAGCCAGAGGACTCGGACCCTTCATACCCAACACAAGGTGGAGGGAGGTTGCCGTTGTCTGGGCACAGGCGCGCAGTTGTCATGCGAGCCGGTAAGAAGAGCCTTTCAGCAAGTAGGTCGCCTAGGGATTGTCCACTCACCCTCTCAATAAGTCGGGCGATGATATGGAAGTTCAAGTTACAATAGGAGTACTGGGTACCGGGTTCAAAATGCAGGGACCTGGTCCGGTCCAGGGCCTTCTTGGCGTCTCGCCCGAGTCGAAATTCACCATCAGGATGGGCACCCCAGAACATGGACATAGCCCAATAGTCTCGAATACCAGATTGGTTATTACATAGGTGCTCTAGCTTTAGTGCGGTGTTTCTAGCGAGGTCGGGATGTAGCATTTCCACCAAAGTGTCCGGGAACTGCCGAGCCACGTTGCCCCGCTTCAGCATCTCCGGGGTGGGGTTGCGCTCCAGGGCTTTCAGCATCATGCACACCATTTGTTTCGTGATCGAGCATATTGGCATCAGCGTGGATGCAGTCATGGGAACCAGCTTTTGCAGATCTGCGTAGCCCCAGACATGCTCGCCCACGAGTTTGCCATCCTTCAATACGGCAGCTGCTCCGCCCGGTCCTCGATACAGAGACGAGACGTTCTCGAGGATATCTTGGATGCGTTGATTCACTAAGGTTGTCGTCTCTTTAGTGAACGTTCACGCCCTCTCCTAAGGCGGTGGGATTGCTTACTGGTCAAAAATGAGGCTTGTATTTTGTACTTGCGTCGCAGGCAGATGGTTCTGTATTCCCTAGCAACGCCCAGTTACGGAGAAAAGGGAAGCTTGATGTGTATCAGGATCTTGGCACCAAGTTACTACTAGCTCCGTAACGGTGCCCGACATTAACCAGACATCCTGGTCAATGTCAAAACCAACTCCGATCTACCGACTGGGTTGGTGCCAGAGTGCCACCTTCACTCTATCACTTATTAGGGCTTCTCCACTCGGTAAGTTTGCGTCAAGGGATCCTGTGTGATTAAGCATCAAGAGCTAAGCTAAATAAAATATTTGCAATGCTTGTTGTTACTGAGAGTATAGAGTACATAATAAATATAACAACAGAGGAACGCTAAAATCCGAATGCATAGTAATAATATTGAAAATATGACCGCGTCAACTTCCGGTGAGACTTCTGCTTGGGCGTCAACGGGTAGTTGTTCGAAGTTGTGCTGCCGAAGATATATACCGCGCCCTGTACAACAGCTTTGCTACGGAGGGTCGTCTTCTTTTGATAGATAGATATTTTCTCCTGCAAGGCGACTACCCAATGCGCTACAGTTAGCTAGCACAGCCGGCCACTTTGATCTATCTATCAGATCTGAAGTGTAAACATTGCATCGTGATTCAATATTAAGGAGGCAGCACACTTGGTATACGTTCCGAGCCATGCAAATTTCCGGAACCACAACATTGAAAAAACTGGAACCAACATTCAGATATGTAAATACGGAGTACAAGGGCAAGATATGCAGCTTCAACCAATGGCGGATGAGAATAGGTGGTATCCCATACATTGCCCGAGCCACCCGTAAAGCCATGGCGCATTGAACTCCAGCCCGACTACACAAAGAAAAGCTAGAAGATAAAACTCAAAAAGAAAATAGTTCATTTGCCCTATGTGCCAAGTGTGTGTAGTCATTCAATAAAATGCCGCACCCGGAGATTAATGTTGCTGCGACCCCTTATATAACTATAGATGTGATAAAGAGATCGATTGAACCCACTTCCCCTGTTTTGATCTTGCTTATTGATTGCAACATTTCCCTCTCCGTACACAGCTCTGGAAAAATCAGTCTCGGCGCCACAGAATCAAAATGCAGCAGGCTCTGGCTATCCTTGTTCTGTATCTATCAGCCTTGGCCATTGGCCAAGGCCTCCCCGTCAATAATGTCATACCCCCTCCTCGTCCTCCTCCCCAAACACCGGAAGCTATGGCATTGAGTTTGCACGCGAACTGTGTAGACATTGGCATTGCCACCGCGCGCGATGACCGATTAGGGAGCCGGCCAGGCTCATCAGGCTCACCAGGCTCACCAGGCTCATCCGCATCAAACTCACGGTCAGAAACCCCGCGTATGCGTCGCGCAGAGGATATATATCCGGACCTCCTCGTCGCAGACTGCAATAATCCCCAAGGCGGAAGGCACGAGATCCAACTGAGCCTGAACAGATGTTTTGGCTGGGATCCCGAGCGTGTAGGCCTTACTGTGCAGAAGAAGTATGCATCTTGCTTTGTTATAGCCGTTGCTTGCTATAGCATTTGGACCTTCCGCTCTTTATGATTAATGACTAATGGCACTTAGTGGATATGGACTTCACAGAGGCGGATGCTCCCGGTGCACATATGCGCTAGGACTACAGCCATCCCAGCCTGGTACAATATTCTGTACCTGCAAGACAACCCCGCAACAACAACACGCAAACCATGAAGTCAGGTTTACACCAGGCAAGTACCCACTGGCCGTTAGTATATCTTGTTACTAACAAATCTGGCAGAGGGTGTCATCCAATATAACCCCAGGTCTGGGCTTATAAGCTGCCATGGCATAGATGGGATTGATATGGGACCAGTATCCTCTGCCCCACGCTGGGTCGATCCTGTTTAGATAAACATCATCAGACATTGCCCCAGATATGGTGGAATATTATCTGTCGAGATCCGGAGTGCTTATTCAGGGAAAGCCGGCCAGTATATCACAGGGTTATTTGGTGCGACTAGATATGTATTTATCACTGAGACATATTTCTCAACCTGGCCACCTTGGTATCTGGCGGCACGAGCCCTCCTCCTCCTGAAAGCTATCCTATGTACATCTAATAGCCTACTTTCTCTCTGAACCGTTCACATTAGGCCTTCTGATATGCGCAGAGCCGCCGTATAAAGCGGGTATAGATATATGCTAAAACGAGTTTGCAGACACTTTAAGCTGCAAGTAAGTAGGGACATCTTCGATGTATAAAGCAAGTTGGCTACCTATTCGGCTGAGCGTCTCTATCGTCACATCGCTGTCTGGTTGATCTTCCCTGTGCGGATCTTGGCAAGGTCGTACGACATAATAGGTGATGCAACAAAGGCTCGACAGCTGTTAGACAGGCGAAGACGTCGAAGCCTCAGCCATATTATAAAGGGGGGAAAAACTAGACAAAATGGTTTAGCATATTCTGAGAGCATCTTGTGAGAATAAGCGGGCTGCTATGGCACCTCTAGAGAAGCGAAGACGGGATGTCTACATGATTGCTCCGCGATGATAGATACACGAACGAATATACGTACCTATCGAAAGGAATCGGAAGGAGTCTCCAGCATAAATACAGAAACAGCGTTGCCCATGACTTGTACTAGCCTTCCGGAATGCAAGTTGATATTTGGTAGGCACTCACATAAACCTCAAGTAGCAGACAAGATGTAGCCCGTGTCTAATCTACCGCCAATTGTCTAACCGAGTATTACAGCCCAAATTGGAGCGACAAGAAGGGTGGTATATAGGTCTAGACTTAGACTTCATGGCATGCCTTTACATCAGCCATGGCGATCAATGCATCTTGCAGTCTTTGCAGAGACCTCTGGCTTTTATAACGGTATTCAGACACACCGCTGCGCTACGCAAAGGGTTGGTCACTTGAGCCCATCGGGCATTGGGCATGCGTATTCCAAGCAGGATGACTTGCAATCCAAGTGAGGATAGAGTTAGATATCAGCCGCCGTTGGTGTTAGCCTGTGACGCAGGTGGATGTTGCTTCGTGATACGTTAGGATAGAATCTGTTGGATTCCTGATGAGTATGCTCAGCTCACTCTCATTTTCGGCGATGGACGATGTCGCGTATTGTTGCCTAGACAATTTACTGACGCCGGTGAATCTTTGAAATACTTTTTAGTAACCGAACCGTAGGTTATGATTGATGCATGTCCAGTTGTGTCAGAGAACTAAGATCTATTAGTTGCACATTTTTCTGTCCAGAGAGGACGGTTTAATCCGGAGCTCAACCGCTCTCTGACTCAACCATCGAGTCTGTGAACTTGTTTTATAGCCTTGCTCGAAAGGCAAGTCTAACAAGGAGTATTCCAGTTCGTTTGGACCCGTCGAGCATATGCCGACATGGTCTAAGAACTGGGTCATTTTGACCTGCTTCGTGGGTTATGCTGTCCCAGGAACCACAAAAAGGACAATTCCCTGGCAGGGCGATGAATATGAATAGGATGTTAGGGGTAGAAAATCACACAACATGTAATCTGAAATTAGCTGGATAACGATCTACCTGCTCATAGAAGTCATAGAAATCACATCGTCGAGGCAAAGGAAATAAGTTGGCAATTCCAGGAGTTGGTCTCGTCTTGTTAGCTCCTCCAGAGAAACCGGCCTCCTAAATGGCTGGCCATCAACTGTACATTCGTTACAGATGGTGCTGAATCCAGTCAAGGATCTCCGGTAGAGTGGGATCCTCTACAGTCCAATATCCTGCCCGCGTGTCTGCGGCCCGCAGATCATCCAGAGCGTACTGGTCCGTCAAGCGCGCCATTTCCTATTGCGTCCCCAGTCAATCAAGTGTTCAGGGATAAAAAGTCACATGATAGGATTCACCTGTCGAAATGAATTGCCCAGCGAGTTAAGTGGAGCAGTATGCTGGATCCCTGCCGGTCCTCCCCGTACGATATCCTGTCTGGTGATGGCCCATCTTGTGGCGGCTGCCACTCGGAGGTAGATGCGGTGCGCTTGGAATCGCCGGGCGCTTGCGTCGAGAATAGTTCTACAGATAGTCAGGACACACCTAGCTAATTGCTATAGGCCCTAGTCCCCGTACCTCTGCAGTTCCGCCTTCTCCGTCTCCGTGTTGGACTGGGTAGGTGCCACGCTGGGGTTGTAGTTGGCTGATATTAGTGCCTGGGCAGCAGCCAGGCCAGCTCTAATCTCTGTGTACGCCTCTTCGTGGTAATCGCCCGCTGGGGTCTGTACATTATGCCTCGCGATGTGCATAAGGAGGGTTCGGTAGTCGTTGATGATCTCGGCTACCCGCAAGGCACGTGCTCCGTTGACTTGTTCAAGTGTCACTACTACCCACCACTGAAAAACGCCAAAGCAGTCACCAAAGATAATACTCACGCCTATCGACCATGATTGTATCTATTCGCCACGAGGTTGTGATGGGTGAACAGTCGTAGCCATGAACGAGAACGGGGGCTGTATTAGTTGGGAAGGGTCAGAGGAATAAAGCAACGACCAGATCAATTCGCCGGCAAGGAACACAGCGCGTCTCTTTGGTGAATGGAGCGTGTATTTCGTCTATGGTCCTCTCATCCTCGAGGGTCTGATACCCTTGTAGGTTCGGCCTAGGGTATTTATGACAAGCGTTAGCGACGGGCCCGGTGATAGTGAAATGGCTCCAAGATCATCATCATTATCGGTCATGCTGGACTGAACCTACCGACGCCGATCCAAAAATGCCAGGGGCCACAGCTGGGAACTTAAGTAGTGGCTAACATGCTAAGCTGGTGACAGCCCACAAACCTCATAGACACCTGTCTATAAGGACTTGGGCTATGTGCACTCCAGTCACGGACGGAATATTATCCAAGCGGGGGGGCAGCAGTTGAGCAATAGTGGGATCGATGCTGATAGGCCTAGATATGTGTATGGCCGTTACAGATACACAATGTGGTCCACGTGAATTGACGAGATCAGAGGGAAGCAATCGCGCAGAGGCTTTGGTGCATAGGACACGAAACCTAAACCGAAAAGAAAGTCCAAGACCAGTCAGACTCAACCCCACTGATCGTAGATGCAGAGGTGATACATCCCAGCACTCCATCCCAACGGTAATCTAAAGTCAACAAGGGGAAATTTTGATTTTGTGACCTCGGAACCTAGTTCCAGACCCAGTGGGGCAGCCCAGGAAGAGTCAGAAGAATTCTGTCGCGGCACTTGAAAATGAACGCGAGGGTACGGCCACACCGAACAGAAGGGAGATCACCCCCCCTCGCTTAACCCCGCCTCCTCGATATTTATGGTAAGATGATCTAGTAAATTGCATGGAAAGCGGAACACTACTGGGAAACTTGTTGTGCAGCCATCGTTCGGTTGTAACCTTGTGATGGCCAGAAATAGTACCATAACAGGAACGGAGGGAAGATGAAATGAATGCCAGACCTGCAGTCCAGCCACCGAGCGGCTACAGGGCAAGGACGGGTATCTACCGGGTTTGTTTTTCCTTTCATTCCTGCTGTGGAAATGGCCAAGCTGGTGCACAGCAGGTGGAGCCTGAGAAAATGGGGTTTCGGCCACGTAAATATGTCTATTGCTGGCTATTCTATAAACATGAAGCAGAAGAACGAGCTCTACAACCCAAGGTTATGTTTTCTCGTAGTCGGACAATGCCTATTCTGCATCTGTCAGTCTGCCACATGGAATGGCATTCGACGTTATATCAGTATATACAAGCGGTGATATCTTCCAATGCATGAATCACAGAGAATTGAAACCCAACTCCTCCCCAGCATCCGAAATCTAACGTCCTAGAGTCACATTTTAGATATTGGGTGCCAATTGCAAGGGAATCCAGTATTGCTGGCGAACTAGAACACCTTTTGTACAACGGGTAGAGTATAAACTTAATGTTGGGTTCGAAGTGGGGGTGGTTGATCCTTCTCTGTCGGGCGACGCGCTGCTTTGCGCGAGGAAGGAACAAGCGCTCTTAGCCTGAGAGGGTGAATAACTTACAACAACCCTCTTGAGACTATTGCGAGGCGGGTCCAACCCTTTCTAGTTCTGCGAGTCTGTGCTCCAAGTCTGCACATTCCTCCGTTATCTTCTTGACCAATTCCGACTGCAACATATATGCATTGCGACCTTCGTCCGTAAATTTGCAATCCTTAGGCGTGCCCCGTAGACAGCATGGCGTACAGGGCATGACGTGATCGCACTGCAACAGTATACTTGTCAGCCTTCTCCCTGTACTGTGTATTGTGCAGAATCTTGATACCCGACCAGAAGTGCAGGGCACGTAGATAGGTACAACAACTCGCCTTCACTCTACGCCTATAGCACGGAAGACAGGATAGGATTGGTCGTCTCTTCTTTGTTTCAAGGCCCCCAGAAGAGGGAGGATCTGGGTTTGAACCCATGCAGACCGCCACGCAAGAGAGGTTCTGCTCAAATATACCGCCACAATAGCTTCAGCAATTAAGAAGATGATGTCCCGCTAGCTAGGTCATTGGCCCTTCAGTCACCGTTTAAGCCAAATTTAAGAGAATGGTCTGGGTGCACCGCCTACGGGGAACCCTGGACATCAGATGGACATGTAATTTGAAAAGCCTTCTACAGCCCCTTCCAGGTGGCAATTTCATGGGGATGCAGCATGGGGGTCATCATGTTACCTACCGCGACCAACGACCCCGCACACTGTGGTATCATCGAACGGGCGTCGTCCATCTTAGCTGCACTCTATGAGTCCTCGAGTCCTCGGTTATTTAGGATTGGGTACCTGAATACGGCTACAGCAGCCAGAGCCATGATCTGCGGTATTGCACAAACGCAGGACTCATCAGAATGAGACGTGAGAACCGTAAGGCATCCTGTAAAACTCATATGAAGCCGGTTCTTGGCGATTTAACCGTTATGCAAATGGCGTTCCCGGTGGGTACTGGCGTTACCCGGGATCTGGGATGCGGATGCAGGGGATCTGCAATATTAACGCACATCCGTGATATTCAGGCGTACGTTCAGTGTTTCGATTGCAAGTCCTTAAGGCTTATATCTTTTGCGTTTGAAAGCTGTTGGTGGGAAGGTCGTGGACGGTTGCCGCCGCGTTGTGGGAACAAGATGCAGGGTCTCCCGAGCGAGGGTTCGTGATCAGGGGATTAGACGGGGAAAGGAGTTCGCGGGATGACTATCGGGGCCCTGCTCAGATGCACATACAAACAGGCGAGAATGGCATTACGTATCTAAAAGAGTATCTAAAAGATACACTACTCGGCCAGCGACTATGCTATGGTGCATACACCATCCGACACGCGACATTCATAAATGCATTAGGAGGGCCCGAAGATCCCCGAGATCCTGACTAGCTGGATTAGTGAACACCATATTCGGTACCTGCAGCAAGTCATGCCATTATGGGAAGGAGTTGGAATCAATCTGTCAGCCAGGCAAGTCTCGGTGGGACAGGTCTTCAACGGGGGGGCCTCCATTCGGCAGTTGCCGCTCGATCAGCCTCGATCGGACCCGTGCGTATTGAGATCTTTCGCCACAGAAGTGGCATTTTGTTTTTCATGGGCCATGGAAGCGGCCACGTAGCAATACGAGGACACTGCATATTGCTTTTGACGTTTCCTAGCGCTGCCCCAATTCCCATTCCCTTGAAGTTACTTTGGAACAGAATATATTGTGTCGTAACTCCACGGAGTACATGTCATCACTTCCACCGCAGTGTGCCAAACTTGGTCCACGAGAAAACTTTATACTAGCTTGACGTTCGGGGCTTCGCGGGGCGCCACTATATTAGACAACGAGCACACCCTGTACCCGAGATTCTAGATTCCTGAGTCTACCTAGGATGGTACACTCGTTTTAGGTGGTATCCACTGCATGCAGTTTGTTGGCCACTAGAAGCCGGACGCCCCTTTGCCTCGATGATACAGAGTACAGCTGGTTAAGATATTCTACATTAGGCTAAAACCATCCAAACATTGGTTTGGGAGGCACCTTGAACCAATCTCTCCTGTAACCTGCAGCTTGAATCGGCCGATCGATGTATTTCTAAGGGGTACGGTAAGATAGGGCGGAGCATTCGGGAAGGAGATTAGAGGAATGAATCTTCGCCCAATAAAAGTGTCGGAGATATCCAGTAGACTGCTAGGTTCAGTGCTGGAACCCACTTCACTGCGTCGACGAGTCCGCCGTATAACCACGGAAGGCGCTCAGAAAACCCCCACTTCCTGCTTTTTTCGCAATGGAGTTGGGTTCGATCTTTCTCCATTATGCATATCAGATAGATAGTTGAAATCCATTCAACATGAATCATCCTTGCGGCTGCACGGAGAACACTTTCCAATAGTCTACAGGGATGAGGCAACCCAAAGAGGCAGTGGAATGTCACCTAATCGACGTAGCAATTTCACCACCAACGCTCAGATCAGAAGACGCACTGAATGACACGATAGGGGAAACTTTGTGATCCACATAGAGAAAATCTCTAATTTACCGGGAAATCAGAGAATACGACTCTGCGTTCGTTTCATGCTATTAACAGATCTTGCAATTATATTTTATTCTGGCGACGTGTCAGCCCTGCGTGGTCGCGCCCAACCCAGCCTTCCAGTAAACTCCGTTTCCCACAAATCATCGATGTTCATAATACCGGTGTCGAGGACTGCCCGTGATAGTGTAGTATGGCATATAGTCGCGATATCTCTTCGGAGAGCATGAACTGCAGCCGAATCATGTCATCAATGGCCCCCAGAGGGGAAAGACTACCAACGTCGTTCTGATATATAGTTGCAAATAGTTTTGTAGTCAGCATCGCGGCATGTTGACTTAGTTCCATGATCTGTAGGAATCAGTACAATCCCAGGGATATGTGCTGAACGTTGCGGACGCACTCGGTCGATTAATAAAGAAATATCCGCACTTGGCATGGTCGAGATAGTAGGCTCCTAGGTGAGAATGTTAGCCAGACACCACGCTCAAACAGAAGGCCCGTCCTGAGGTAAGTGAACCCTTGTCATTTTTATGGACTTGTGCATATGTTCTTGCGTTCTTGAATTTGGGGTGTGTCTCAGGTCTTGATTATTTTAGCTATCCCTTTATCTGTTTGTGGGACGCCCACTGAAACCTAAATATTGCAAGATCCGGGCCTTGCGCCAGGTCCAATTCTGGTTCGATCTAATGAAGTACTTCATTTTTGGTAGAGCCAATAGTGTATGCAAGGTATCGGAACTTAATACATTATGAGCGTCTTGTCCTTTATGTAATCCCGCATTCTTATATGCTCCTTTTAGCGTCCTCTGTTGGTATCAAGTAGGAGAAGGATCAATAAACGTAGGTACTACTGGGTGAATATGTTGGCAGCCGGTGCTCATTAACTGAAACAATAGATCTAAGAGTGGACCTTGCATAATTATACGATCATGTAGTCTTAGGTTCCTTGAGAAGGGCGACGTGCAAATTGAGTGAATGTAAAGGTGGTTTAGGTGTCAGAGTGACTGGTATAGTGACGCCCACCTAGGCTTGGGTTTCGAGGCCTCACGAGGTATGATGTTGGTTACAAGCCAGCGCTTAGTGACTAGTTGTCGTTCTTGAGCATTCTACGGCACTGACTCCCACCGTTCCTGGCTGTCTATGTGACAGCACTCACACAGAACGACCTCTCGCAGGGTCTCCCGGGGTGGTTCCATCACAGAGTGCATATTTATCTCTTGTGGTGGGCGACCTGCTAAGGCAACCATAGCTTGGACTGGGCGTAATGCAGCAATAGTGGCTGTGTGATGCTTAATTTTCAGCAAAGAGGAACAGGAAGGCAAGGGCGACGGTCAGCCGTATATTATGGTTCCCTAGGAGAGGTTGGCTCGATAGGCGGGATGGACGGCACCGCTTTGCGCGGGGGCTTCGGCGAAAGGGGCTGATCTAATAGAGTCGGGGCATCGCTGCCATCATGGCCATTGATCTTCCTATATTTGATCGAGCTCGGGATGTTAGTGTATATCCAATGCGAACATGGTTGGGCATAAATCTACCCTGAATAAAGGAAGGACACGAAAACGGGAGGGTTTCTCGAGCCAGGCGAGTGTGAGGAAGGGACACATGTCTGGTCGATACAGACAGAAATTTCATATCATCCTGGATCGCACTGTAGTCACCCTTTGTCGTTGGCCCAAGCAGAACAAATTTAACAGTAAAATGAAACAATTCGTCTGTGCAAGGGCACAGCATATCGACTAGCCACGGGATGTGCTCCGAACATCCCGGTGCTGCTTTGCCCTGTTAGTAATACATCCCTTAATTACTTTTACCCCCAAGCACGTCTTTCCGGTCTCATTTGCCAACAAGATTCCTTTACACTAATATCAACAGGTTGGTTGCCCTCCAATGCTATTAGGCCGAATTATATAGCGGCCGTGCCGATACAGGGCAAGCCTAGGTTCCTGGGATTTTCCTGGACATGATTCTGTCATGAACTAGGGATTCAATATCTTCCAGGAAAAGGTATCAACCACTTGATGAGATCTAGTGTCTCTACAATTGCGAGGCAACATGACCCTAAGTCTTCTTGAAAGCCAATGCCAACATTAAGTTCTCTTCAAGTAAGCCAGCTCGTAATTCGCAGTAGATATTTCATAGGAAAAGGGGGGAAGTAGCAAAATATGCCGATCGCCCTTTTGCAAGTTGCGGTCTCCTCCCAATTGGAATTATACAGCTCCTAGTCAATAATCACCTATATCTATCTAGCTGGCTCAATGGTGAACCGCTCAGCTTTCATGATATCAGGATAGTGACGGTGTAAATAGCCTTCTAGGTCACTCATCCTGCATGTATCACTCGATCCACTGATACCGGTACTTCCTAGGTTCGAACAGAATATAGCCAACCACAATGGACGGAAATAGTTGCCTGGCTTCTACCTAACACAAGCGCTCGGAGCCGAAGCTGTTCGCTAGTCATGGCCAACTCGGAACGCCACGTACTGATGTTAGCCAATCTAAAAGTAGAAGACGATCGCTCACATAGGTTTAGACCCTGTTAAGAAAATCTCCGACGGTGGGTCCAGCCTGATATTTTGGACCTATCTCATTGACATACTTGGCGCACAGCATCCATTCGAGCGACCGTTTCTCTCGTAGCTGGAAATTGACCGTCACACAGAAGTTTGCTTATGTTTTTTTTTTCGAAAGGGGTTGAGAAGATTATGTTGCCTAACCCCTGTCCCACCCAACCTTAGACATACTCCAAGTGCCCTCATTGTCAGGTATCTAATCGTACATTGCACTCGCGCTGTTCCAGCGAGCTATGCGATAACCCCTTTGCCATGATTTATTTTAACACGTATGCGTGTATCCTGTAAATTACTGGTATTCAGCTAACCATGTATAGGAAGAATTGAGGTTTCCAATTCATAAGTCATAACAAA